ATCCAACATTTTTCACGTTTCAAATGAATGTCCTTGCTTGAGATAAGCCAAGTGCAAACAGTAGCAATGGGACATTTGGCTTTCAGTTTGACTGTTAAAGGAGAAATAGAAACCATCCATCTTTACTTAGTGTTGTCATATTCCTGCAATGATAGAATCGGACTCTGGCAGATTGGAAACTGTTGATGGGATTTCCAGGGAATCTCTGGCAATCAGCGTCACTCCTCTGTGCAAGGCTCCTGCTCAGTTACTTTCACTAGAAACTGAGCCATCAACCATGTTGCCTCCTACATAACCTCATCCCTCTAAAAGCTTTGAACAGAACACATCTAAAATGGAAAATCTCATGTCTTTATGATTGAAATAGACGAAAAAAGAAACAATACAAGTTCAAAATAGTGTGGATGTGAATGTAAGTATGCACAGTAAAGTCATTATTATTTATTTTAGCATACATCAAAATAATTTATGTTTATAAGTCCAGTAATGTAAATTGTAACTTAAATACCAACTTCAGAAAACAAAATGATTGACCATCTTTTTGACATATTTTATGGCATTGTGTTGTGGCCTAAGTCTGATTATACACAAGGGTTAACATCGTTTTTCAAATTGTGCTAGTACTGTAGTGAGTGTCAGAGCAGCAGCCACAGCAGTTTCAGTCATGCAGGATACATGCGTTTAGGCACACTGTGAAGAATATATCTCCCGTTTTGGCAGTACAACACACATCACTGACTTAAAGCTGTAAAAGGCTACAGGTCATGTATAATAAGATTGAACTGCAAGCTGTTATATAACTTATTTAGACCACTGGATCACTAAACATTCCCTGTCAGGTTTCCAAGGTTGTTTAATGCCTTCGTTTTCATGCCACTTTGCAAAATGTATCTTTTGAAATTGCCTTATATGTTGATTTCCTTCTTAGGTTCAGTTATGTGTGGATACTTTATTCCCTTGCTACCCATGTCATTAAGCTCTGATATCCTCTCCTGGTCGATACATCATTAAACTCTCTGTGTGCCTCCAATGTGTCCTGACTCTCCAGTTCCCTTCTTTTCCACCAAGCTTTCTTTCCACTTATTTTTTATTTAACGACCCACACCTTGACTGGTTTGGTTCAGTCTCACTGCTTTCATTATTTAAATTTCTAGTCATAGCAGGTATCGGGCTCATGTAATGGATGTTTATGAGGACAATTTGGCTGCTAAATACAAATATATTTCCCTCAGGAACTTATGTTATTTTGGTGGCCAGGGAAATAACTCCATATGATTTTAAATAGGCAACTGTTTCCTGACATGTTCACCATTTCGAGTTTGTTGTGTTTAAGTGATCTAATCTCTACACTTGACTGCTAGACTGCTTCGGAGAAGACCAGTCCGTGATGTGGCTTACTTACCGTATCTACTTTGGAAGTGTGTGTACAGTAAGTCCTCCTTACTTATGCTTTTTAATGCGTGTAACTGAAGAGATTCAATTTCAGAAGCCTAGTGACCTTTTTCATTCCTGTCTGAAAGCATATAAAAGAGGCCATGCATCAGGGATTCATGCAAATTCTATAATTGTATTTGAGTTTAGCATTATTCATTTTCATCTGGCTCAGAGTTCAAGCTTCAGTCCTGATTTAATATTTTTCCTTGTTTGTTTTTTTCATCTCGGAATGCTTGTGCTGTTATTATCTACAATACTTTTTCAAGAAGATATATGAACAAAAAAAAAAGCTTTCAAATTAGCATTGCTGAATGTCATATTGCCTAATATATATAATATATAAATAATTATTACACTTGGCTAAAGAAAGAAGCCGAGTTGGCCTCCGTGAGACCTTGTAATCAATGTGTCAGCTCATATTGTAATTGTTATTCATTATAAGGGAAATTGTCTGTGCGTTCCCATAAAAACTCTGTTTTGCTGGAAGCTATTTATGTGCTCCATGTCATTGTCTGTAATAGCATCCTTATGAGTGATACAATCTTAATGTTTTTTATTCTACACAGGCCTGACCAGAGCTGTGAACTGTAGCAAAGCCTGTCAGAGGTCGAGTAAATCCAACATTATGCAGTGTGGTGTTCATACAATATGTGGAATTGGAGTTTAAAATGTTTATATACTGTAATGGCTCCAAATGAATTTACTAAAATTGTGTACAATGTCTTGTTTTGGATTAAAGGTTTTTCAAGCTTTGTGGTGGGGGGAAAGTCACTTAAATGTATTTGAAGTCATTTAATATTTGAACCAGGTTTTTCTGATCCAGCTTTATAGGAATATATTGATTCTTAAAGGGTATAATGTGATTCAGTTTTGCATTTCATAAAGAGACACAAAGATGGTCAAAAACGCAACAAAGGCCGAAATATCCTTACTTTTAGTTCTTATGGATCAAGCTCCATATCCACTTTTTTATATTGCTTTTCATCCGTGGATGCAGTTTGAAGACTGCTCGTTTTAACATAAACAAATGTAACAAAGGTTTGCAGTTATCTATAACGTTTCCAAGATTAAACAGTACAGTTTTTTACACTACAAAAGTGGGCTATCCAAACACATCAAGTTAAAAAAAAATGTATTGTGAGGTGAGCGCCTTACCTTCAATAAAAGGCATCTCGTCCCTCTTTTGTTCATAGGCTATGTAGTATGCTACTTATTTTTGACTTGAAACATACTTTTATGTGTAAAACCAGTGGAGTAAAGAACATAATGGAAAAAACAACGGAATTCATCATAAATAAATGAAATAGAGTATAAACCAAAAAAACAATAACTATTGAAACTCAACTGTCAGATAGCAAACCTGCTTTGAATTGTAACACCCCATTAAATGGGCATTATCATTTGTTATCTGCACAATGGATAAGGGTGGGTAAACGTAATTGGTTCAGTGGGCGGCCTTTATAACTACGGTAGTAGACATATAAGGCCAGGCTGTATAATTTTGTCTTGAAATTCATGAGATTTTCGAAAAGCCCGGAATACCATGCTGGATAACTCCACAGAAAGCAGAAAGGCTTTGACTCCAAAACAATGTGCATCGCAGGTATGACAGTGCTTTGAATGTGAAAACTATACCTGCCATTCCTAAAGCTACCAACTAACCAGAAAGAGAAGTAATAAAAAGCCTCAAGAAAACTTTATTTCTTTGTTTGAAAAAACAAGACTTTTAGAATCTACAGAGAATAAAATAGTTAAATAAACACTGTTGATTAAATCACACATCTCTTATACACCCACGACACAAAGCATTTACTGTGATGAAACACATGCAGGTACATTGTGCATTGGATGAACCTGAGATCAAGAAACAGAAAGTATAATGTTCCACATCAACATGCGACCAGTTGCAGAGACAATGTAATTACTCTGTCTCTGCGTGTTATTGTCCACTGATTGAAGTGTAACCTAGGGTGTGTGACAGACTGGCTCCCCGTCCACTTAACTGTGGTGATGAAGAAAATCATAGTGTCCTCACTGCCCCCTGGCCTCATTCAAGAACAGCTGCCAGCTGGACAAGTCTTTGGCAAGTAGAAAATTGTTAATGCATATTTTAGCATTCAACAGACCCCAGCTGTCTTTCAACAGCTCCCGTATTTCAGTCACAATTTCACACTGCTTACAAAGTGTTATCATCAACCAGAAACTGAAAGTAACATTTGAAGGAGCGGTCTGTTTCAAAAGCTTTTGCAGTGTCATTGTGGCCTGGAAAGATAAGGTGCAATTATTACCTTTGCATGCACCTGCACCATGTCGAGTGATTTAATTTATGTGATGAGAGATTGTGATGTGTAAACATTTTCTTCTTCTATCTGATTAATGAAAATTGCACTTTAATTGTGATGGAAGCCAATGAAAATAACTAAATAAACAGGGTGGAATTAACAAATGCAAACTGTGTTGTATTAAGAGCCATTAAACTCACATGTAATACTGACCACAGATCATACTTGAAGGACAACAGTAGAAATTAAAAAGATTTAAAAAATAATAGAAGGTTTACCGATAAATAATGGGGCCCCATTGAGGGTAGAGTGGAAAATAGAGAAAAACATTGAGTTTCAAAGTTACTCTTGACCTTGGGAAAAGCAGTTATCAAAACAGTCTTATCCCAATGTCCATTGAATCATAGTTCTGAAAACTTCATTGTATAACATGATGTTCAGCAGCAGATGAAATTAAATTGTTTCTTCTGATCACTTGAAGGAATTGGAACATTTCTCATGGAAGCTTTTACCATCTGGGTAAACACATGTCCATCATGTGAGATGACTGAAACTCCCACAACAACTAAATGTCAAATGTATAGACTGGAGGTCCAGTTACAAGGTTAACATTAAACTGCCATCCTCAAATGTCAGACATGCACTGAACAATTGTACAGTTACTGAAACTACAATTGGCTGATCATTGTCTGACTTGGTGGACAGGAAGGGTCATTTTCAGTTGACTATTAACCTCAACTATAATATTCTTTCCACAAACCATTAACCCTTAGTGGTAATAAAAGGACGTTGAACAGATCTCAAAGGTCAATTTTCAAGGTTTTCTAAGTTGATCTCATTATCAAGACAATTCACACTTGCAAGAGGTCAACTCCTGCATGTTTTGAATAGCTTTTTGCACCCTAGCAATAAATGTGTAATAGTAGCTTACGCATGCATCAAACAGGATCCTCTACAAATAGCTTCTTACACATATTAAAATGTTTCCCTAAATGGTCACACACAGTTAAATAAATGTAAATAAATGTATGTTAAAGAATATAAATGTATTTGACTAAACATGCGTCTGCTAACTAGGCAAAGAAGTCACTGCACTCTCTTGCTTTAATTTTCATCTTCTCAAACGACAAAACGACTTCCGGGTTTAGAACCAATAGCATTACAGGCAGAAGGTTTCACGTGGTGCTACTTTTGAACTTTGTTATTCAATGTGTCGGACAGTCGGACCTGAACACTGGGTGAGTTTGATCCGTTTTCTAGTGTTGTTGAACTTGAATGTGCAACCTATGAACATTACATGTACAAATTCAACAGTGGAACTCTTCACAATGTGTTAAGCTACAACGTGCCTGTTTCCATGCAGCAGTAAATACGTGTGTGTTTGGAGAGGCAGACAAAAAAGTATTCAGAATAGTTCACCGTGCAGACTTACAGTTCTAGGTGTTCGGGGTGAGGAAATATACTTGCCTTAGTTGCCTACTACTAGATTTATATTCTGTGCAACAGTAAAACAAGACACATGTGCACCACTTTACACCGGAACATAGCTGAGCTGAGCATATTAAAAATAATACCAAGCCAACAAACATTTGTAAAACAGCACTACCGTAGTGCGCCCTTATTCTTAACTTTATGGTAACAGCAATGGCTTCCAGAAGTTGGAGGCTGCTCCATAAAAAGACTGAGTGATCACGTGATATTTTTCTGTACACCCCTAAGTACCACTCAAACATCAACTGCTAATAATTCAACTGCGTGCCATTTCTTTCTAAAATAATGTTGTTTTCAACAAAAAATTGGATGATGTGTGCAGTGTGAAATGTCCTGTTAAACGACTTTGGAGATGTACAACAACTACATCCGTGTTTAAAAATCCTAAAAGGTAATGTTGACATTTCTGATAATATTTTTGATAGGCTTTTGTACATAATTATAGTATACCCTCAGGCTATAATACATTTAAGCTGCCATTTATATATCTAGCATTAAAGCCTTAGACCACATCAACCTTAACAAAAATACATATTACTCAAACTGGCCTGTGTACATTTGTACATTATTCATAGGCCTACACATAATTTTAAAGCAAAAAAAGTTAAGGGTCTATACTTACTGATTTAACCTTTAAAAGCCACATTGTTGACAAAGCGGGAAAAAGTTGACAGGTGCATTGCCTTAGCTGCTCTTGGCTGCACATGAGCACACAGTATGTGTCTGCAATTGAATGAAACCGTATAATACAGTGTGCATTTTTATTCAAAAGAACTCTGCCGAGGAACTAAATAAAATGACAAAGCATGTCAAACCACTACTGTGTGTAAGATTGCAATCTCAATGCCAGGCATACAAATTGAGTATAATGTGTTGAGAGAAACAGGAAGTGGCTCTGAGAAGTTATTTTTACTTGACTTTGCACTGATGTTGTAAGCCCTAGTCTTTTGCCTGTTAAAGGGAAAAAGGTAAAGAAATGGTAGAATCTCTCACTAACTTGATGTAACAGCCAGCTGTCTCTTTCCTAAGACCACTGGTGAGGTCTGACGAGAGCAAACTGTGTCAGGAAACTGCTCTCCAACTGCTTTCCACACAGTTGCCACTGTTGGGTGGAGATGGCCCTGATGAAAATGAACAACTTTTGTAACTTTATTTTAGAATCTTAATGTAGTTTTCTCTTTAGGTAATACTTACGTACTCTCATTAATACGTGTGAATTGTTGTTTCCATTGTAACAAAGTGAGTGTTGAGAGACAAAAGTTGCATGCAACCACTTCACAACCCGTTTGAGCTACAAACAATAGAATAAGGGAGCACTTATTTTACAAGTGCCTATTTGCAAGAGGTTAGCTATTCTGTAAGGTTTAACATGGCTTACTATTATAGATATTCTAACAAGGATATAACATAAAATGATGCATTTCCTAATAAGGCCTGTTAATATAAATCTGATACTAACACCACACACAATTGCTGCTATAGGTTATATACTGCATGGTAAACTAATCTTCGGTGAACACATTTGTTAATAATTATTGATTGCAAAAAAGGAAAAAAATATATAATGAGAAGAGATCATTTGAAATCAAAATGAACCCGTTGTTTTTGTACAATACTCTGTTTTCTGTTTGTGTGTTTAGATCACAGCAGTAGTGAAAGGTGCACTATGGGACGCCTCGACGGGAAAGTAATTGTGTTGTCGGCTGCTGCGCAGGGGATTGGACGTGCTGCAGCAATAGTAATGAGCTTTAATGAGAACTTCTAACTTATACGTGTCCAACCATATCACACAGGAAAATGTTTTAGTGCCTATCATGTGGTGTCAAAGCATTGTGTATTTTGCATAATTACATATTCAAACCAGTGTTTGTGTAATGCAAATTGAATATTTTAATGGTACTGACATCCTGCCAAATGTTATATATCTTCTATAAAAGCCATTTGGAAGGGTACATAAGTGAAGCACTGCACTAATAACAGTGATCATAAGCATGTTATCTTCCAAATGACTGTTACAGAAATACACACTGCATGTGGTTATTTGCCTGTTTAAGTTCTAGTTTTCCTGTTTGTTTGTTTTTACAGCTCAGGAGAACAAGCGGAGTTCCATAAAGAAATATAAAAGCTGTTATAGTAATAATGTAATCAATCAGAATTCCTTTATTCGTCCTACAGAGGGGACATTTACATTGTTACAGCAATACAATACATACAATAAAACAAAATTATATATTCATTCAATCAATCAATATATTTATAGAAACTACCTTTTTCAGCTTGCATGAATATTATAGACCTTCTGTGGGCAATGGTTGAAATATGCTATCAGTCAACAATTGTATACTTCAAATACTGTAAGTGTGCTCTAATAGTGGCTCCTGAGACACAGGTTAGGGTAACCCTTATGGACGATTGGTGTGGTGATATTCTTGCTCAAGAGATAGCATGACACTCAAATCGAACACACATATCCTTATCCAGATTGGGTCATCATCACAGCCATCAGCTTAAAGTGTTGTCTTTACACCTGTGCCTTGAAAAACAGCAATTTGTGTTTTGTTCAGTGGCCAAGAATTTAATATCATCAGGTTCAAATCACACAGTATATAGTATATTTGAGGGGCTAGTCAGCTTTTTCCATTTACACTTGTAGAGGTGTGTTTTACTGATGGGGTCTGCTCTGTGGTTAACAGTGCAGTAACTCCATCAGCTATCAAGTGACCGGAAATTGAATGGATTCAAATTATGTTTAAGGGTTAAGGTTAGAAATGCTATCATATGTGATAATGAGATCTTGGTGTCAGCATTGTGACCTGAATTATTGCCTCTAGAGGAAGTAAGTATGTGCATTCAGGTGAAAATTCAGCTTTAATAAGAAATAGAAAATCATACCTGCCTCACTGGTCCCAGTCTTAAGGTTTTTCATTATCTAAGCTTATTGAACCAAACCGCAATAGCCATACATCATATTTGTTTAAGTTACAGGATCATACCAAATGATTTGTTTTCCTTCTACTCCTACTGAGCTGGAGGTTTTATAGCATAACATATTGTGAATCTGCTCGGCTCTGACTCGTGTTTTTCATCTGTGTAGGCATTTGCAAAGGAGGGAGCTCAAGTCACAGCGACAGACATCAATGGAGAGAAGCTAAAAGAGCTGGACAGCATTCCAGGTAAGATTAATTTCCCTTGGTCTTAGGCCGCCATCTGCTGGACAGCCAGTGCAATAAAGCCAGGATGACTGAGGCATGTTTTTCCTTTTTGCTCAAATTCTGTCACAACATTCACCTCTGTACCTTTGAGCCTTTAAGAAGATGCATTTGATACATGCCCATAGTTTTAATGCAATCAACATTTCAAGTCCTGTTTTTAAAATCTTCTTAAAGGTCTGCGATCGTTTTTTTGTATTAATAAGGCTGTTATTTTCTCTATTTATTTAACATTTAGTTGGTCTAACATCAGTGAGACTTTCCTATTACAGCTAACCTGAGCCAGGGGTGCTGCATCAGATGTCTTGTTTTGACAAAGATACTCAGTTTACTACTATAAAATGCTAAGAAAATCACCAAATATAAGTATTACTATTACTATGACTGCATCACTAAAAATGATACAAGAATAATTTGTGCAAGCAAAGACTTTAATATGCTGCATTTGCTTTAAGATAAGTTATACTGTGTGAGTGAATTACTGCTCACTGGTCTCCACATCTCACATAGTCAGTGAACAGAACAGTAGAGTGATCACTACCAACCCATGCTGTCTGCATCATATCAGTAGTTATTGCTGAAAATTGCATCAGTTGGACCACGATTGAATCAATAGGAGGTAATTAACACTCTTTCCCCTCTTAACACCTCCTTGCAGATCGCTCTCAACCAAAGCAGCCCTAACTGCTTTCTCTAGAGCTGTTGACTCGTGTGATAATAATACATATCACCTGTAAATAAATTGTGTGAGGGAGCCTTCATATTTCTTTTAACTGGCCAGCATGAAAATAAGCTCTTCAGAATAGCAATCGGTTGTAAATGTGTGTTATTGTGCAGATTGTGAAGCCTCAGAAAAAGAGGATGCTTTTGTCTATGTTGTTCACTTGTTTATTTTAGGAGACTGGCGGCCTGATTTTAAACTAGCATCTCCTCCAATAAAATGTGAATGACTAGAGACATCATAAAGACAATTCGTTTTTTCATGTGAGCTGAATCAAAGCAAGCATTAAAATAATTGCTATGTTCTCCACAACAAATGCACTCTTTTCCCCTTCACCAACAGGGATTAAGACCAAGGTTGTGGATGTAACTAAGAAGGACCAAGTCGAAGCCCTGGCCAAGGAACATGATCATGTGGATGTGCTGTTCAATGTCGCTGGGTATGTTTTTTTCCTGTGTGTTGTTCTGAATTACCAGAGTAATACTCATTAACTTTCTTTTGGGCATTAAGTCTGATGATATTCAATTTTTATTGTCTGAAAATCTCATTACAAGTAAGCCTCACTGGGTTAAATGTTCATACATTACCTTTTAGTATGGGCAGTGTAGCTTATTTTGAGTTGATCAAACATTGTGAAATCGTGATGCCATAAATATTCGTGAGCAGACTAAATACACTGCTGTAAATAGTCCCTACAAGATGCATTACATACCCCTGTTAGAATATTTTACATAACAAATACGCGGAATCTTGACAGCCATATTCCTTGACATACATAAACTGTGCCTAACTGTTCCACTTGTGTTGCTGTCTTGACATTCAGCACGTTTATCCGTCCCATGATTAACAACGTTTCCCAAATCCCTATACCTTAAGGTTTATCCTTATCTTGACCTTTAGTCAATCTCTTTAACAAAGGTCTCTAAATCTACACAAGTCAAGGTAAAATGTTGAGGGGGAGAACGCAGCATTTTAACAAGCATTTATTTGCAGTTTACTTTTGTATTTATTATCAGAGTCAGAATTAGAATCAGAAACAGGTTTATTACCAGGTAGGTTTACACGTATTTGACTTGGTGTCGTGGTGCATAAAAACAATAATTAAAAACACAGGTAGAGAACCAGAAAAATATAAAAAATAATTTAAAATATATAGTAAAATGTAACAGTATTTACATTGCAATGGAATGAAATAGAGGAATAAAATCAGCTGTAATACAAAATAATGTTGTACATTGTGTGCATTAATGTAATGCATAGAGTCCATGATGTGGCTCAGGTAAAGTGTCAGTGGGGGGGCCGGGCCTTGTTTATGAGGCCGGTAGCGGGGGGGAAGAAACTGTTCAGGTGGCGAAATATTATACTTATTTCTTCAATCTTCTGTTTTTTTTCTGATTGACATTTGAGATTTTTTACCTCATAGTAAGAGCCATATGTATATATGTTACATGTAATACCATCCTTTGTAATCAGAGTTAACATGTTACTGCAAACAGGTTTGTGCACCATGGCTCCGTCTTGGACTGCGAAGAGGCCGACTGGGACTTCACAATGAACGTGAACATCCGGAGCATGTTCCTCATGAGCAAGGCCTTCCTACCTAAGGTGACCTGTTTACTTTGCTAAATACTAATCACTGTTCATCCTGTTGTTAGGACAAGGAAATAGATGCTGTTGTAAATTGAGTGACATATGCTTTCATATTGTTCTCATCCTTTGTCCGCGTGGATTAGCTGTATTACTCTGAGCCTGTGACATGATGGGTGGTGACTGTCCTATCACTAATCCAGATTAAGTCTCAAACTAACCAAACTGCTTCAAAGCAGAATTTTAGCTTGGATCAAAGCACAAATCTCTTAAAGAACGCTGCATAACGTCTTCATTTAAAACATTTTTTCATGTGTACATGACAACTTTCAAATGTATTTTGTCATTCTAGATGTTGTCAAAGAAGTCAGGAAACATTATTAACATGGCATCTGTTGCATCGAGCATTAAAGGTAAAAAGAAAAACCTTCTGTAGATGATTATAGATGTCCTGCCCGACTAAAGGGACATTAAGTCATTGAAGTATGACCAAGTTCATTGTAATCCTCTTAGCTCAGATAGCTGCTCTGCGTTTGAGTGACGTGTGTTTCCTTCACTCAGGTGTTGTGAACCGGTGTGCCTATAGTACCTCCAAGGCTGCAGTGATTGGGTTCACCAAATCTATAGCGGCTGATTTTATTGAGCAAGGCATTCGCTGTAACTGTGTTTGTCCTGGTAAGTTTAAAACACCCTTCAAAATAAAACCATGTGTCCTTTGATTACTCTAGTATTGCTCGAGGTCACTAGATAACATTTAACCATAGATATACTTGAAAACAAATTACATCTTTTTTTCTTATCATTGTTATTATCATGTTTGTGGACATTCTGAATTTCAAATATATACACACCTTGAGTTTGTCCCTTCAAAGCCAGTCTCAATAAATGCTGTGCAAACTCATTTGTCTAGTAGACCTAAATTGAACCCTATCATGACTTTTATTTTTATTTTCAGGAACTGTTGATACTCCATCATTGAGGGGTAGGATCGAGGCCCAACCTGACCCAGAACAGGTATCTATTGTTTTCGACAAGAAACAATCCTGGGTATTGGAGCAAATGATACAACTTTAAGTCCTCTCTCTCTCTCTCTCTGTGTAACTCTGCAGGCTTATAAGGATTTCATGGCAAGACAGAAAACTGGCAGAATGTGCACAGCTGAAGAGGTGGCTCACCTGTGTGTATACCTGGCCTCAGATGAGGTGAGTGAGTGCTTGCATACGTATGTGGTCCAGGTACAATACATCAACATTCAGGCAAAGTTTGCAGAGCCGTAGCTACACGGAGGTCCAATTACTTTGTTTGTATTCTAGACATTTGAGAGGATTTAAACTTAGTTGGAGTTAACATAAAACAAATATAATTTTTAAATCAAAAAACGTTGCAGACTTGTTTTTGGTTTCCGTTTTTAAAATAAAGTAATTGAGAAGGAGGGAATACTTGGACTCATGGCCACCACTTTTAATATTACTTAGTTATACATGCAAATAAATATTTTTGTTTATTGGTTAGCAGTGAAGTCATGTATGATGTATCTCCACTTTTTCACAGTCTACCTATGTGACTGGAACGGAGCAAATCATCGATGGAGGATGGAGACTCTAAGCAAACTGTTGCAAGCACATTATGACAGTAGTGGAGACTTAATATTCTTATTTGAAGCCCAAATAAAACGCACTAAATCTGAGTTAAATCATTTATATGATTTTGCTTATTGTTTACTTTTTCTGTGACATGCCCTATTTTCCAAATCAAATGTTATATGCTGCAAATGTGTGCAATGCCAACATAGTGATGTTGATTGACATTGTAATAAATTGGTTTTATCACAGCTAAAGTGTAATGGTGTAACTAATCACCTTATTATACATGCATTAATTGTGAAGTATTTGACAAACCAATCGTTAAAAGTTTCATTTGAATACTAATGAAATATGTTCAAACATCTATTAAAAGTCTTGACCAATACTATTGAGTGGCTTTTCTGTTTGACCCTACTTCCCCCATGCACTCCTGTGCGCGGGGACATACATGCTTTGCCATCACTAATCCGCCTCATTCTCAATGCCCAGCTGCTCTATGTGCCTCATGACTGCCAGAAACCCTGTACACTGAAAGTTCACACGCGATGGTCATGTTTATGATATAAGGTGAGCTTTTGTTTTCTTTAATAGCGTTTAATTTCTTTTTTTAATCCCGTCTGAGGGGTCACGAGGTCCCTAGTTAGCTACCGTGCATATTGATATGGTGTGGAGAGTTCACTGACAGCTTGTTGGTCGGAAGCACACAACCTGCTACTGGCAAAGCATCCAATATCGGACAAGACCTCTCTCCGAAATTGATGATTGAACCGATTTGTATCTGAGAAGAAAGTATTTGTAACGGTGCGTCAACCGGGTTAACGAGTCCATGGCGGCCGCGTTAACCGTCGCGTTATGGAGAGTTTACCCCTTACTAACGTTAACTAGGCTAATTCAGCCTGAAGCCATTACTGTATAGTGAACATTTCCAAGCTATATCGTACCTTACGTTGCTCTGTAAAACGGCTGTAAGTGAAATGACAGTGCTAATTTACCTCTTGTACTAATCTATAAAATAATAGGAGTAATCGATGACCCAGAGCAGAGCGCTGGTGGGCGAAAGCAACGTTCTAAACACAGACAATATAGCGCTAGCAAAGCAACGGTGGGCATGGCGAGCTGATCGATGCCCCACAGATCCATTAGATAATAACTAATCAACTAAACAGGTGCTCGTGTATTACTATTGTACCTATATTGTACGCTTAGTTAGCTGCCTCTACTGAGTTAACGTACATGTCTGATAATGGGACTATTAGCATTATTTATGAGGCGTGGATTAGCCTCTGTTAGTTTAAACTATGGTACCGCTTCAGCAGGACAAACACACCTTTAAACACTTTCTTTGCTTGCTAGCTAAATGGCTACCAATGCCAGTCTGAAAGGTATGTTGTTCACAATGCTAGTTAACTCTAATCTAGTTGCTCTAGCATCCGCTAGCTAGATGTGCCATATGGTCAAACTGTAAGCATCGATTAGTGTGGTCTGATCGCAGTGGATTAACTAACGTCTGTTGCCATCAGCAACTGTCAAAACATTGTAGTAGCGTTAGTCTAAATTACATTACCTGTAAACCTTTGTGCATAACATAGCGTGGACTCAAGCTATTAAACGTGGAGCACATTGTTTAGTATGTCCATTGTAATGAGTTACAAGTCATCACTACCAGTGCGTTATACAAAGTAAATACAGTACACGATAGCCAGCATACAGCTACACATTAGCCTCATAGATCCTCATTTAGACATGGATCATGAGGCTTAAAAACTAGTTAGTTTTCTTTCCCCATAGAGACCTCTTACAGTACAATATGAAATTAATAAAACATTTACATATTCTCTGTTAAGCCTGTATGTTTGACACAACAAGCGTGTCATGTGTGATATTACATTTATCATAATCATTAGGGATGTCCCGATCCGATCACGTGATCGGGGATCGGAGCCGATCACGTGATTTTCACGTGATCGGGGATCAGGAGAAAAAAATCGGGGATCGGAATTTTTTTTTTTTTTTTTTTTTTTTTTTTTTTTTATAAAATATTTTTATACATTTTATTTAATGTTACAAAACAAAAATGACCATGTTCACGTCTTAAAGTCATCCTGAGGCCTTAGTTTTGGGTTAAAATTACACAACATCATGTATGTGTTGCTTCTTTTGGGCTTGTTTTCATAGACCTGGTTGCTTATTTCTCTCAAATCTGGCAACAGAGTGGGCGCAGTGTCTAATAGTAGCAGTAAGCTAACAAGAGGCTACGTTCAGCTGGTGACTCGGGAGTCGGGACAGAGAAAATGTCAGGAGTTTGGAAGTATTATAAAATTGAAAGCGAAGGCAGTGTAACAGCCAGATGCAATGTTTGCAAGGCGGAGGTTCCGCGTGGTGGAAAGAACAGAGGTACGTACAACATGACCAATCTAATACAAACACCACCAACAACAACACAACGAGTACACAGCGGCCACTCAGGTAACGGCACTGAAACAACCGACACTTTCAGAGACTTTTAAAAGGAAAGAGAAACTACCCCAGAACAGTGAAAAGGCCAAAAAAATAACAACCAAGATAGCTGAATTCATCGCGTTATCTGTTACCTTTTTTTTCCTCTTAATGCATTGCATAAAGATCGGATCGGGAAAAATCGGTATCGGCAGATTGTCAAAATCAAATGATCAGAATCGGATCGGGAGCAAAAAAAGGTGATCGGGACATCCCTAATAATCATTCATCCAATCTTACACCTGTACTAACTCCACTGTTCACTATTGTTTATCAAGTAAACAATAATTTGTTTCTCTACTGATAAGGCTGTGTTGTATGAATAGGAGCCTGCAGTCAGAGCTTGACATACAGAAGCAGAAGTGAAGGAACTGCCCATCAATGGGCAACCCCACCCCTACAGTTGATGTACTGTGAGTAAGAAGTGAGTGGACCAGAAATACTGTAGCCTATTGCCATGGAGGACACTCAGCCCAAACCTGCTACTCCGGAACCCACCCGGGCCCCGAGTCCAGCACCAAGTCCAGCCCGTAGTCCAGCCCTTAGTCCAGCCCGTAGTCCAACACCGACGCCAGTATCCCTGCCAACAACCGGCCCACAACTGGACTTAATTCCTTTGCCTGCAACAAACAATGTGGAGGTATAGTCATTTAATCATTACAATCTCTGACAATGTTATCTGTTTTTACAGCCTTGACAAAACTGAAAAGGGTGTTTTATAAGCTAATATTATGTATTGTTTTTTTATGGGTAAATTAAACAGCTATTTGTTTTATTAACACACCAAATAATTTAAAGCTACATATAAATGATGTGGTTGCTGCCATTTGGCTTTGCTTTTTTGTCACTCACAGTAGTCAATCGAGGTTGTTGTTTGACTTCTTCTATGTTTAAAAACACTGCCCTCTAACCTTGTACAATTTATTATTCTGTAAGAGATCATTTGTTCATAATTTGTTGCTGTAATTTGAATATTATAATTAACATAAATGCAGCCAATGGCAAAGGCAAATCTTTGAGCTAATGTACCCACCTGGGCAATATAACTAGGAGGGTGTTCAGGGAGGTGCAGTTATCAATATGTTCATATCTCTCTTATTATTTGCCAAGAAACAATAATCTATTATCTACTGGCATGACGTACCACTGTATCAACAATAGCAATAAGGAACAAGATATTAACCTAATATGTGTTCAGAAAGTAAAGAGGCTTTGGGTACATACTGTACGCAACATATTTTCAAACCTTTCATCAAAAATATAATAAAATATTTGTCAATGTGTCACAACGAAACTCTTTAACTGAAATTGCGTTTTTAAAGCTTCTTTTTACATGGACAGCCTTTATATTATGTGGGAGTTAAGGCAACTAACGAACACAATGTCCACCAGGCAAAATAACAAGTATTCTGACCTTTCTTTTACAGCACCTAAATGTGAACCAGATCCAAGTGGTGGTACGACGCTGTTCTAGTCCAAATGTCACGGAGGAGACAACCTTTTTTATCCCACGAAACCCTGCAGTGGATGCTGGCACAAACACAGACCCGCCCGTGGTCTGCTGCCCCTTGCTCGCTAGATTTTGCCCATGTCCCCCAAGAGGACTCCTGGCCTCTCTCGTTACTAAAGGTAAGCAAGGTCTCTACTTGTCTCAGTGACCTGAAAATGAATTGTATGTCACTTTGTACTTTTAAATAGGACTGAACTTGCAGACTTTCTTTTACATTTGGAACTATTAAATGTCAGCAATGTGGTAGATGAAAGAAATTATATTAACACACACTCACTTTATTTTAAGTTCACATTATAAAAAACACATTGACACAGACAGGGACACATGACATGACCCAATAATAATCTGACATCTGTCTCCTGTTTCTCCTGCAGTCCTTCTGGCAGGTGTGCTCTTTGGAGTGGTGTGGTCTATCACAGAGGATGAGTGTCTTCCAGGGGGAAACCTGTTCGGAATCACAATCCTCTTCATCTGCGCAGTCATTGGTGGCAAAGTGGTGGCTCTCATCCGTCTGCCCAAACTTCCGCCATTCCCACCTCTCCTTGGTAATTTAGTGGTTATGCGCCGGACAGATTATTAGCCTGTACTGCAGCTTCATTTACTACGTATTGCAACATTTGGTGACAAAGTAATCTACTGACTGAGTCATTTCACCTTTGTCATTGATTCAAAAAGAGAAACAAATAAAAAAAACACATAAGGTCAAAAGGGAGTTCCTGATTAACTCTACAACCATGTTACTCACTTGTTCTGTTAAAGGTCAGGTTTACATTAGCCACTTTAGTATTTGGCTGGTATTGTGTTTTGCTTATATTCGTTGAATTAATAGCTTACATGATAAGGGTCCTGTTAGTTTAAAAAAAATGTAAGAACTTTGTACCTGACCATGCCATCTGCTGCGCCCCAATCAAGATAAAAATCAAGGAACCTGGAGCCACTCCTTATTTGCAATAACATCAAAAGCTAGATTGAAGTACAATATAGTAACACACTCCACGTTCTGTCTATCTAAACTTGATTTCCTGTGTCTTTCATGAAGAGAGTATTGTTTTATACCTGTTTAGCGTCTGTTTTTGTTAACAATATTAGAATATTGTGATGAGTTCAAAGTCTTCTCTCACCACTCTTTAACTATTTTAAATATTTGCTGGTCTTTCTATGATTATATTTTAAACCCCATTTATATAGATGTAATCATAATGTTCTTAAATGCAGCATCATTTTTACATTTCTCAATAAAGTGTAGCATTTCTATTAGAGATATAAGGCACATCACAGTATTACAGAGAGCCTCAGGTGTCCAATATTGAGTGCTGTAAGTTCCAAAAGCAACAGGTGGTTATTATTCTTGTTCTGTATCTGCGTAAATCCTGAAT